CGGCAGGGTCGGCTTCCAGGTGATGGAGCAATTCACTGGGGTGTCAGGAGAAAGTGTGGAGGAGCAGCCTTGCTCCCTCTCCTGGGAGGTCTGCTCCTCATGGGGGTGGGGGAGGCCGGGAGGATGAGGCCCGCTGAGCTGCACCTGCTGGCGTGGGAGCGGGCAGAGGCGCCCGGCCGGGTGCTGTTGGTAGAACGTGAGCTCGGAGAGCGCAGTGGCGTGAGGCAACAGGAGGTTGCCCTGCAAGCTGGGCGTTACCTCAAAGCGGTGGGAAGTGCCGTCTCAAGCAGGTCAGGAGATGCTTCCGTCCGCCGGAGGCAGGTATGTGGTGAGGCTCGACATCCTCCCGTACAGGGACAGCCACCAGCACCCCTGTCCTTGTGTTTAGGATGCAGGTTTCAAGGAGAGTAGCGCTTCTCAGTCAGAGCAGAGCGGGCGTCTCTGAGGTGCTGGGGGCGGGGGGAGCTAGCTTGGTTCTGCTCTCTTGCCTCAGGTTTCTTGCAGTTCGGTATCCCCATTTTATAGGTGTGTGGAGAAGCTGGACTTCAGGGAAGTACTGTCAACATTACTGACGTTGGGCCTCCCTGGTGGCGCAGGGGTTAAGCCAGCACCATGAAGCTGTCCCCAGCCACTGCAGCAGGACTGGGCCCGGCCAGGGAGGGACCCCCAGGGCGCAGCACACCCCTGCTGTCTCTCCGCTGCTCCCCTCAGCAGTAGATTTCAGTCACTCTGCCTGTTCTGTTCCTCATTCTGTTTCTGGTGAATCCGCTCACTCCCCACACCTCTGGCCTACACCCCAATTCTTGTAAGTGAATATTTAAAAAAAAAAAACCTTACTAGAGTTATGGGAAGTAAAACTCATTTGAATACAAACTAAAATCTGTGGGAACAGATTCTGTTTAAACGGGACAGGCAGGACGTTTAGAAAGTGATTCAAGTGGTTAAGGGTTTTAGCTGTCCAAGCTTTCGCACCTTGACAGCAGCTACCTGCAGCCTTGTTTTCCTCCGGGTTGTATTGTGTGATTGCAACAGGTGCTTGAGCGTGAGCCAGCAGGCCAGGGGCGTGCACCTGTAAACACGGGAGGTTCCCCGGAGCTGGGGCCGGGGCCTTGCTGCCTCCCTGCCCGCTGGCCTGCGTGAGTCCAGGCCCCTCGTTGGGCATTAAAGGCCTGGCAGTTATACCAGAGAAGCCAAGATTCTCAGCCATGAACCCGCCCTCAGGGGTGGCTGCACAACGCTGTACGTCAGGTAAAAACTGGAAACCGACGTCAGGTAAGGAACATGTAATTTGGGCTGTTAAGCAGACTAATGGTGAGAATATCAAGAAAAATCCATCTCAGGTGTAGGCCCACTGTTTCCGCTTTACTTACAGCACAATTGGAGTGTGAAAGCTCCTTGACTATGGATGCTCCCCACTGTGAGTGCCCCGAGCGGCCACAGCTGTGGGCCCATCACAGCCCCTGCGTAGCAAACACCAGTCCACCCTGACCTCTCAGCCGAGTCCGTCAAGGCCGAAACTACACTTTGATGTGAGGGGTCTCGCGGCCTAGCTCAGAGCACAGCACTGAGGAGAAACTGAAGAGCCTGCAAACCGACAGCCCCCTCCCTGACCCCATGTGTGGGGCTCCTGATGCCCTTGGACCCCAGGCCTGGCCAGGGTGGACTGGGCAGGAGGAATGAGGCGGCTTCATCATTTGCTGCCGTAGCCAGACTGAGTGCTGGCCAGGGCCGGACCCCAAGGGCCCAGGAAGGGCCTTCACCACGAATGTCCTTGTCACATGGTGGCTGATGTGAGGTCGTGGTGTGTCACCAGGGCCCTGGGGGGGGGGGTGGTCACGTCCCTGGGGTGCTACCACCACTTCCTGGGTCACGCCTCACTCACCAAATACACCCTTGACCCCAGGGGCAAGGAGCGTGTCCCTCAGGCCTTAGGGAAGTGGCCCCCGGGGCATGGCCTGCACCGTGACTGACAGGGAGGGGTACTCCCACACGCCTCTGTCACCCCACTGAGCTCTGCTTCCCACAAATTTACAAGCACATTTAGCTGCTCTGTCCTCCTTTGCCTCCTTGTGAGTCCAGGAAACCTCTTTTACTTCTGGAGAGCAAGGGTGGCTGGCTCTGTGTTTCTGGGCTATATGATTTTTTGGGGAAAGATTTATTTATTTTAAAAGGATTTTATTTATGCATACAAGAGCTGGGGTGCAGATCAGAGGTGCAAAGTCTCACCAGAGACAGAGTGGGGAGCAGAATAGGCAGATCCATTGAAATATGCTGCTGAAGGAGGCAGGGGGGAGACAGATGGTCTGTTGCTCCCTGTGGGTCAGCTCCCTGGCCGGGGATCGAGCTCGGGCTGCAGTGACTGGCGATAGCTTGATAGCGCTGTCTTTAACCCCTGTGCCACTAGGGAGGCCCCTAGGTACAGGATTGTAGGGGTGAGGTCAAAGCTGTGAGTAGGCGCCCTTCACCTCAGTGGTTAACTCACAGGCATCGCATGCCCTCTGCCCAGGCCAGTGCGTGAATCTGGTGGTCTTTTAGAGACCTGGGTTGCAGATGAATTGGAGAAAAGCATTCTTCTGCACCCACCAGGTCTTGGAAAAGTGTTTAAGAGAAAAAAAAGTGTTTAAGAGGGGATGGTCTACCTTATAGCAGAGACTGCAACAGCAAATAGATCAAACCTCCCTTTGAACTCAAAATCTCACGTCACCTCATTATGTGTGAGAACCAACCGGAACCTGTAATTGCTCACACCTTTTCTGACCTCCAAATGGGTTATTTTGGGTTGTTTGGGTCACGTGCGTCTCTCACTTGGTAAGGCTGTGTAGTTAAGTTTAGATACGGATCCTTGAAAAGGGAGCGACAGGCACCTTTCAGACAGGGGTGTTCGGCCGTCGCTCCGTCCTGTCTGACGTGTGGTTGACCCAGCTGGTGGCTCATGTCACATGTTGCTGCTGCAATGACAGAACTAGACGTGAAATAACAGCACAGGAGCGCCTCGAGTGCCTGCCAAGCGCAGTGCTCCAAGCGGGCTCTCCCAGGGATCAGATGCTGCTGCGCAGCCTCGGGGGTGTCGCCGGGCGTCTGGGGGCCAGCGCCGGCGGGCGTGGCTGCTTCGAGGGAATCGGGAGCCGTGTAACAGCTCGACACTCAGGAACCGCCGTGTCCGAAGCCCTGCCCGTTACAGTTTGGCTACAAAGGAAGGAAAGGAAAGAGCATGGCTCAGAACGTAAAAGGCCGGTGTTCCTGGACTGTGCGTGGCCTTGGTAGGTAGAGACCTCAGCGGTCAGCTCACTGCGCCGGGAGAGGTAGCCCGGCACCACTTTGAGGGCTCCTGGCAGAAAGACTTTTAAGTAAGTGAACGTATGTTTAAGGTAATGTAACTTACTTATAGTACAAATGCTTTTCTGTTTGCCCCAGTCGCTCTCTGTCTCTCTCCCACTTCAGCCGGGGAACGTCTCCGTGACCTGGAGCCTACGGTGCCTCCTTACTCTCACTTGGCAGGGAACTGCCGGGGCTTACAAGTCACGTGTTTCTAGAAACGAAGGATACCGAAAAGGCTCACCTCCCTCCAGAAGACAAGACCCCACACAGGGAGCGATTAGGAGGGCTGTGAGCTGGGACGTGTTTTGCATGGCTAAATCTAAGAGTGGGCATGAGTGGCCTTGGTCAGATCTGGGAAGAGGGCTGCCTGGCTAGGCCCCGCACGAGCCGGGAGGCTGCCCCTGGGCTCCGTGGGTCCCCAGGCCTCCTCCTCCAGGCCTCCTCCCTCAGCACCTCCCGACGGAATTACCATGGGGACACAGTGAGTGGAAAACCAAGTGCTTTCACCGCCGTGGGACCTTTCTTCCAATCTGGGCATCCCCAGCCTCGTGGCACTAGACCTCCCCTTGCCGGGGGTGTGGACCTTAGGGGCCTTTCCGAAGCCAACCCTCACAAAATATTACCAGAGTCGGGGCCTTTTGGCAGGAAACAAGCCCAAGTCAGGTGCAGGGGTACCCTGGAGACCAGTGGCCTTCCAGCCCAAACGAAAGGCTCCCACGTGGGGAGGGCCCGGCGGCCACACACAGGTCTCTACGTGCTGGGCCACGTGGCCGGCAGGGCCAGCTGGCCCTGACTCCGCTGGAGTCTGACTGTGCTCATTCAATGCCCGCGTCGCCTCACCCCTCCATGGGGACAGGGCACGGCCCAGCACGACCTCAGTCTCCTTCCAGGCGAGCAGGGAGCAGGTCTGTCCAGCAGAACCCCTCTCTGAGTAGGAAGGAAGCCCGGGGCTCTGAACGCCCCAAACACGCTCCCCAGCAGTTGACTGAGGATCAGCCTTGGTTTGCTTCGGCTCTGTGGGTGGACACAGCCACTCAGCATTTGCAGCCACACCTGAATGACCACGGCTTGACACGACTCGCGGGCACGCCGTCTCTAAGTCTGTCAGCCACGTGACTTGCAGTGAAAGGAGACCCGAGTCGCGCCTGTGCGCTGCAGGTCTCCTCTGGATTAGCGGGGCCTGGGGGGGTGACGAGACGCCCCTCCGGGTGGGCTTTGGCCGTCTGCATCGGCGCGCACCGAAGCAGACACACCCCCCCCCTGCAATGCTGCTGTAGAATGCGGCAGCTGTGCGTGAGGGCTGGTGTGGAACGAGGGGTGGCGAGGTTTGGGGGGGAGGTTCCTGCTGTTCATGGCTCCGTTGCCCCTGTCTGGGTTCGGGGGGCTTCCTGCGTTCCCTGAAACTGTACCCAGAGCGAATGGCCGAGACTCTGTCCCACCTAAGGCATCTCTGAACGGCAGCAACGTCTCTAGTTGCACAAGGCTTGCTGTTTCGAGTTTTCCTTCATTTTCCCTCATTTCCAGCATTTACTCGGACAGAGATCTTCCCACTCCGAGCCCACAAGCCTGACATAAAATACGCGTGATGAAAAATACTGTGTTTAATTTTCTAATCACGTACTTTAAAAAGCCGGTACAATTACGATGTTGTTTTTACCTTCTCAGGTCTGTCCCTGCAGCCACCCACGGCTGGGCTGCTGAAGCAGCTGCTGCACCACCCGGAGGAAGCACAGAGGCCCAGGGAGCTGACCGCAGCCGGACGGCCCAGTAGGAGACGCAAGGTGACCATGCACACAGCTCGCACACAAGGCCTGCCTCTTGCTTTCCGCCTTTCAGCTTCTATTTCTGCTCCCACCGCCACCGGTACCAGCTTCCCCACAGATTACAACCTCCCCCACAGAAGGAAAGATAGTTCTCTTGTCACTTGCTGGCCCTTACACTTAGGGACAAACGACAGACTTGGTAAAACTGCGGCAAACGGGACAGTGTTCACCGACACAAGATGGCCCGGCCGCAGGTACACTGAGCACACGAGACGCGCTGCGTTGTATTAGAGACATTTTATTGAAAATGCGAAAATAGGAAATGTATTATAGCCTAAAATAAATTACATAACATATACAGTATATATTTATATCTTTAAAATATTTTTGTGTTTAGGTTCTTTCGGTCTAGGAATTTGACGAAATCAGGAATTTATTGAACTGTGTCCATCATTTCTGAAAGAAAAAAACCCGCTCTCCAAAACTTAGAAAAATAGACTGCACTAAATGGATCTCAAATGTGGGTCATTTCAGGGAATATCACATAGTGACTCTGCCACGGTGTTTATAAAATGTCTTGCTGGGTGTGAGGGGGTGCAGAGGCATACTCTTGAGTCGCTCGCACTGTACCGCATAGTTATGACAGAGAGTGGCGGGACCAGGGGATACAGCTACTTCAAAGGTGACGATACAGCAACCTGGCATTAGAATGCTAGAGTATGACTTAAAGCTTCAGCTCACTTTTAAAAAACTAAAACGTAAAGTTAGAATGCTCCATTTCCCTTGCTCTAGTGCCATCTTCAGGAAAGGTGGGCGAAGGACGAGCCTTCAGGGAGAGCCGTGCCAAGGCAGGCAGAGACAGGAGCCGCGTGTTTGTGGCAACGCAGTGGGGCGTGGAGAGTGGTCGCTGCCACCTGGGAGGCCGGCGGCTCGGGCTCCCCGCGGTCCCCAGAGTCCACTCCTGGGTGTGCGTGGCCAGTCCGGCATTCACCACCCCACGCGGGAGGACACCGCGACGGCTCCGGGAAGCCAGAGAGAGTCAAGCTGAACCCTGCTGATTCCTAAGGGCGTCGGCAAGGGCCGGCCGAGTCTGCGGCCAGCCGGGCAGCGGGGCCAGGCGATGGCACGGCCGAGTCCTTTGGTTCCGAGTGGAGATTGTCCGAGGGAGGCGGCGGAGACTGGGCGGCGAGGCCGCTCCGTCTCGGGGCTTTCGCGAGTCCGCGCGAAGTCAGCTGCTGAGTTGCAGAGTGGCGAAGGCCCTGGCGGCCCCGTCGGGGCGGGCAGGCCTGGCACCGCCCCGGCGTGTTCTCGAACCCTTTCCCAGCAAGGCCTCTTCCATCACCAGAAACCAAGCAGCCGGCCCCCCAGAAGAAACACAACACGACGGGAGAGGAGAGGACGTGCGGGCGCCACCCAGCCGCCTCGGCGGCCGCGCCGGGCCTACTCGGTCTCCTCCCGCATCTCCACGGCGTCCGCGGCCTCCTCCGCCGGCGGGATGTCCGTCATGGCCGAGTCCTCCCCCTCCACGGCCGACTCGTTCTCCATCTTCTTTTTCTAGAGCAGAGACGGCGCGTCAGCGGGTGGCAGTGACAGCGTCACATCAACGCCCAGCAAGAACAGCCGGAGGGCACCCCGGGGGGGGGGCCAGCAGGCCGGGGTCTTGTTCCCTCACCAGGGCTGCACCCCAGCTGTGCCCATCCTGGCCGGGCCTAGGACTCTGGCAGGGGGCCCCTCCCCTATACCTCCCCCACTACCTCCTGGGGGCCCCTTTTCACAGCCCTCCCTGGCTGCCCCCGCGGGGGCCTCCTCCTCCCCATGGCCCCCTGACTATCGCCTGGCCCCTCTGGAGTCCCCGCCAACTGTCGGACCTGCCCCAGCAGAGCTGGCTCCCCGCAGCCCCCCTCAGGGCCGAGCCCGCTCCCCGCAGCCCCCCTCAGGGCCGAGCCCGCTCCCCGCAGCCCCCCTCAGGGCCGAGCCCGCT